AGGTTAGTCAGTGCATCATGGATGTTTACAAAATGATTTTTTAGGTGGAGTGTTTAGTTTTAATGTTTTTTAAAACTTCTGTTTATGGCTAAAGACCCTTGTTTTTTTTTCCCTTTATGGCGGTAATTCAAAATTTCCCTCACAAATAAAATAAGAGTCATTTAAAATGATTCTGACCTATGAAATGAATAATACACTACATGTTAATTTATTGAATGTAAGTAAAATTAAATTAAAAAAATGACTCTGCTTTCTGTGAGGGTGAAATATATACGTCAACTTGACTGGGGCCACAGGGTGTCCAGGTACTTTGTCAGACATTATGCTGAGTGTGTCTGTGAGTGTGTTTCAGGATGAGAGTAACATTCGAATCTGTAGGCTCAGTAGAGCAGATGGCCCTGCAAAATGTGGACGGACCTCACCAATCTGTTAAAAGTCTGAATAGAACAAAAATGCAGAATAAGAGAATTATCCTCTCTCTGCCTATCTTCAAGCTGAGACATCCATCTTTTCCAGCCTTTGGACTCAGGCTCAGACTGGAAGGTACACCATCACTTCTCCTGGTTCTCAGGCCTTGAACTTGGACTGGAGCTGGACCATTGGGTCTCCAGGGTCTCCAGCTTGCTGACTGTAGATCTTGGGGCTTCTAAGCCTCCATAATTGTGTGAGCCAATGCCAATATATTCCAATATATATTACATATTTCCTTATGATTGAGAGATAGATAGATCTCCAACTGGTTCTATTTCTCTGGAGAACCTAGATAGAGACAACAACCAGTTTCCCCCTCAGAGCTTCCAGAAGGAATCGGCCCTGCTGACACCCTGACTTTCTGCTTCTAGCCTCCGGAACTGGGAGAGAATGAATTTCTGTAGTCTCAAGCCACTTAGTTTGTAGTAATTTATCATGACAGTCCTAGGAAATTATCTATACATACAGATTTAAAAAACGAGATATTGTGTAGGATATACTGTTGTGTAGCTTATTTCTTTTAGTTAAGACATTTAATTCCTCATTCATTGTCATTTAATATTCTTCTGTAATGCAATTTCAAGTTTCATAATACTTCCTTTTATGGGTATACATTATTTTATTTATTGGTCTCTGATTATGGTTTTGGACTTTGAGGTTTTCCCCAGTTTTTCCTTGTTAAATATACTGTCATGGTATATGTTCTCATAACTAGATATTTGAGCCTAATATTCATAAAGTTTTCTTTAGGATAGAGTCTTAGATGTTAGATTCCAGTAAGAACTAGTTATGCGGGAGACTGGTCTTGTTTCCTGCTACATCCATCAAAAAGTGCTGGGCATGTACTAGGAGCATTGTCCATTCGCTTAGACTTGCTGAGTAAAGTAAAAGTGAAAGGGCATGTTCATTTTTACAGTTTCAGAAATATATTGTCAAACTGCATATCAGACAATTTTCAAGTGTCAAGTGAAGGGAACCTATTTCTCCTAGGAGGGCTCATGCAATCTGACTCCAGCTATTGGGTTTGTTTTCTCCTAAAGTCCTCTCACACGTAATGATTACTTTATGAATCCAGAAGTGGTTTGATATGCAAGCTTCCTGATGTAGTTATTTGAGACTAGCCATGATGTCATCAATTTTTTTTATTTTTTTATTTTGTATCTTCTCTTCTGGCACAAATCACACCTCATACCGTTCAATTAGCTCGGGGATTAGAAAATACGCCACAACTTGGCACTTGTTTTGATTTGAGTCATATTTATACTTTTAAAGGAATTATTATGGATCATGATTCAATGAATATTTATGTTATTAGAAATATTAGTAAGAGAGGCAGGAAGTTGTGTAGTAATAAGGATGAATTCATCACCAACTATTGAAAACTATTTTCAATGATTTTCATTTCTTCCCTCCCCAATAGCAGATGGCTTAATTCCTTCAACCAGCTGTTGAGGAAAGAAATATATTTGAATGATAAGGAGCATAAAATTAAGTTCACCCTTGTAACACATACAACAAGAAAAATCTTAGCAGTGCTTATATTTCTTTTTTGCTAAATTATCAGATATAAGAAAATAAAACCTAATCAGCAAAGCCCAAATGTGGACAAAATTCTTTGTATAATTTCTTAGTGGTTGTTCTAGGAATTGCAATATACATATATAAATTTTAGCAATCTACTTAAAATCAATTTTTACCACTTCACATGGAATGTAGAAATTTTTTTTTAAAGATTTTATTTATTTATTTGAGAGAGAGGGAATGAGAGAGAGCAAGCACATGAGAGGGGGGAGGGTCGGAGGGAGAAGCAGACTCCCCGCCGAGCAGGGAGCCCAATGCGGGACTCGATCCCGGGACTCCAGGATCATGACCTGAGCCGAAGGCAGTCGCTCAACCAACTGAGCCACCCAGACGCCCGGAATGTAGAAATTTTTAATAAGATTTTATTTATTTGTTTGAGAGAGATAGTGAGCACAAGCAGGGGGAGCGGGAGGGGTGGGGGGAGATGCAGGCTCCCACAGGGAGCCCGACACATGGAGCACCACGTGGGGCTCCATCCCAGGGCCCGAGATCCTGACCTGAGCTCAAGACTGACGCTTAGCCAACGAGCCACCTAGACGCCCCTAGAGCCACAGGTGTCAACCTGTACAGATAGGTTCCTGAAGCCTCTCCATTTTATGTTTTAGGTGCCTGATGTATAACATCATCAGACAGTGTTATAGTTTTTCTTCTCATCATTCAGACATACCTTAAAGAGCGTTAGAGGAAAAGAATAGGCAGTTATATTTCCCTAAATATTTACCATTTCTGTTCCTCTTTCCATAAAAAATGCACCATCAATAGATATTAAGAAGTTGGGAGGAGTTAAAGAGGTAACCCTCAAATGATATTGAGCAAGTATTAAGAGCTGTTATCATTCTGGCTTTTTAGTTGCAAGCAATAGAATTCATCACTTATTTGTTTTAACAGAAAAACGTTTACTAGGAGATACTGGGTAGCTCACAGAGTCCCTGGGAGGGTCAGAGAAACAGGGTTGGAGACTCTGCAGCCAGAAACAATGCCCCCCAAACTAGTGTTTTGGAGATATAGCTGTCATCGCTGCTTGGGCGGGAGTCTGTAGGACCAACGCCATCAGGGGTGGCCCTGGGATGCTGCAGCTAACTGCTAACGCCGCTCTTTGCTGCCCCCCCTGGAGGATGGCTGTTACTACTGCTCTTTAGCTCACTTGCCTTTCTTGCGTTAACACTTCCTTATACCGCTATCTTGGTTCAAAATTTGGAGTGGATGTGCTTGAATGGCAGAGCTTAGAGCAGGTGTTCTAGTATGTCTTAGCTGCAACAGAATCCGAGAAAGTGAGTATTTGGCATTTTCAGTGTCTATAAGAAAAAGAAAGCTCTGGCTCATAAGGTAGGGAATATTCCTGGAACAGAGGAACCGAAGCTAAAAAATATATGACAAATTTCATTAGATTCAAGCTTTGAGTCCAGATATCCTACTACTTACAATGTTTGTGGTCTTCGATGGATGAGTTTCTTCTCTACAAGTTTTTCTAAGCATCACCGTTCTATCAGAGGGTAAGTTTCACAATGAGTCAGCTACAATTAATTGAGATGAGGATTGTCAAACGTTTATTACAGAAACTTGCACAGAATAAGTAATTATATATTATTATTACATATCATCTAGTAGCATAATTGTTATTGAATGAGAAGTTATATCAGCAGGAAATGAAGGCTCTTTTGTGAGAATAATTATTAATTTGGTTTTGAGCCCACTGAGCTTGAAGTATCAGAAAATACAGAGATCAAAAATCTATTCCAAGAAGATGGTCACTATACTGGTCAGGGTCTCCAGAAAGTTCAAGACTAGAGATAGTAAATATAATTCTATACTTTGTGGAAATAGATAAACATATGGAGAAGATTCTGTGGAATTCAACCATTTCCCTTTTGCCTGAAAGGACGAAATCAACACTCAGCAAGGCCCTTTACTTCCTGATTAAGATTTAGATTCGATATAAAAGGGGAATGAAGATGATATATATTTTATGCCCTGGCCTCTTTGGTAGTGATTAATATTTTTTCATGTCCTGGGGATAAATCAGAAACCATTGTTTTATAAGCATTTTTACAGAAAGAATAAAGTACCCAAAACTGTAATAGATGGGCTATGTATGTTATGGTCAGTCTCTACCAAGTTTTCTTTGAGATCACCACAATTTATATCTATATCTATATCTATATCTATATCTATACATATCACATTTTATATTATATATTAAAATATGTATTATAGTTATTACACTATTTATATCAATATATTAATAAATAGAAATATATTTATATAAATATTAATATAAACAAGTATAAATTATTCATAGTATGAATATATATACCTTTGATATATGGAAAGTTATATGTGGACTTTCTTTTGGAGAATACTGTAAAATTTTCTTTTCAAACCTATTTATGTTTAAAACATGACAATTTAAAAAGAAGTCTCAGGGCACCTGGGTGGTGCAGTCGGTTGAGCGTCTGACTCTTGGTTTCGGCTCAGGTCATGATCTCAGGGTTATGAGATCAAGCCCCGCATTCAGCACAGAGTCTGCTTGGGATTCTTTCTCCCTCTCCTTCTTCCCCTCCCACTTATGTTCTCTCTCTCTCTAAAATAAATAAATAAAATCTTTAAAAAAATTAAGCCTCAAGCAATGTTACAGATAGAGTTTAGGTATGTCACAATGTTACAGATACAGTTTGGAGATATGGCAAAAGTTATCAAGGAGATACACTATAATTTAGTACTGTATGAACACAGCAAAAAGCTGCAAAGATAGTGTTCATATACTGACAGTAAGGAAAGCTGAACTGTATGGTAATCTCCAAGCTCCTTGGCCCTTGGCCATATCCCTAACTTCACTGTGGCAAAGCTACTCCCCACCTTTCTCCTCGGTAACAGAAACCCATCTTTTCCTTCCATCAGTTGACCATGCCCATGAGGGGAAGCTCGACTCTTCCAAACCAATGGCGATACGATGGTCTCGCTCCTTTTGCTGGATAACTACATTTAAGCAGCAGCGCATAACCCAGTGGACCCGGGGTTAGTCTACTTGGATGGTTCTTATCAATTTAGAGAAGTTCTGCTATTTTTCCCTGGATATAGATATGAAAGAAAGCAATGTGGTAGCTATCTTCAGATCAAGAAGTCTCAGGTCTGAGGACCAGTATCCTGAATGTGGCAATGCAGAAAGATGGTAAGAAACAGAGTCTTTGAAGACAGTTTTGGAACTTGAAGTTAACCATTCATGGAACTGCTCTACCTTCAGACTTCTGGTTCAGTGAAATAATAAATTCCTTATGTATGCCCCTTAGTTAGAATTTTCTCTTACTTGTGCTGAACGAAATGATTCACTCATCGCCTGTCTTCTCTTACCTCATGGTTCAGACTCCACAGAGACTCATCTGCTTGTCATTCCTCTTGCCCTTTAGTATGTTTCTGGCTTCTGAGGCTTTTGCCATGTGGCTTCCTCTACCTGGAATAGTATCCTCCTTCCTCCCACTGCACATGGCTAGGGTCTTTAAAAACTCAACTCAGGGGGCACTTGGGTGGCTCAGTAGAGTTAAGCATCTGCCTTTGGCTCAAGTCATGATCCCACGGTCCTGGGATCGAGCCCCACATCAGGCTCCCTGCTCAGTGGAGAGCCTGCTTCTCCCTCTCCCTCTGCCCCTCCCCCCTGCTTGTGTTCTCTCTCTCTCAAATAAATAAATAAAATCTTTAAAAAACAATCTCAGAAGTCACTGTAGGAGCTTTTGCTGATCCAGGTTAGGATACTCAGTTCTCACCATGGTCTTACCAGATTGGCTGTGATTTTCTATTTGTGTGCCTGTTTGCTCTGCTCCTCGAGGATAGAAATGATGGTCTATTTAACTTGGTGTCCCAAGATACCCATTATGTCTATGGGCAGAGCAGATTATTGGAAATATTTAACCAAAATTCATATCTTCATATCTGGAGCCTGTATTCTAATCCTGTTTCCGTTGTTTACTTGGTATTGAGCAAGGCACCACAGGTCTGAGATCCTTCATCTGGAAAATGGATGCAAAAATACCATTACCTCTTGTCTATTCAAATTATGTAATGATGCACATAAATTGCCTAGTTCATGGTAAATTCTGTCATCATTCATAGTTCATTAGCTTTCTCCCATGTGTTTAGGGATGTGTGCCTGGAGAGATGATAAACAGTTGCATACTTTTAAAAAATATTTGATTTATCTCTCTATCCAGCTCTTGTTGAAAGAATTAGAACCCCACAGCCCACTGACATTGTATTGTAGAACTTCAGTCGTAGCTTATTCAGTACATGCCTGTTATACTTGAGAAATAGGCCTCATCTGGTGTGTATGCAACAAATGCATACTTGTGTGTTTAAAATAAAGAACAAATGTTTGGGATGGTGGATGCATAATTTAACCTTTTCATCATTTTATATGAAGTCTAAATCCAAGAGCACAATATCAACATGAGGTAAAATGTTTGACCTTTAATGATGCTTCAGTATCTTGACATTCTTTATTCATTTTGAAACCTTTTGCTAATTTTAAGTGGCTCCCTCTAATGTATGTTCAAGAGGGCTTATTGAAGCATACTTTGAAAGGGCAAGAAGAAAGAAAAGAAAAGAAAGAAAGAGAAAAGAGAGAAAGAAAAGAGAGAGAAAGAAAGAAAGAAAGGAGAGAGAGGAAGGAAGGAGAAAGAGAGAGAGAAAGAAAGAACAAAGAAAAGAAAGAAAAAGGAAGGAGAAAAATCTAAATCTTCATTAATAAGTGAAACAATGTTTGCATAAATAATAAGACATCTTTATATGGAATATCATGCAAGTATTTAAAAGGGTGGTGTAGAGCTCTGTAGATTCACCTGAAGGTGTGTCCATGATATTTTAAATGACAAATACACGCTGCAGAGTAGTATGTATAGGATATGCTTATATATTTGCTATTTGTATGAGCTACAAATGTGTGGAAGGAGAGACACCAAACTGTGGAATAACATTGGTTACTTCAAAAGGGAAGGAGACAAAGATGTTCAGTGTTCTTACATATGTCTATATTACTTGACTTGTTGCAATGAGCACATATTTTTTAACATTATTGAGATATAATTTACCATAAAACCCAATGATTGAAGTATACAGTTAATTTGTTTATGAATCTATGCTATGATCACCATAATCAAGTTCAAAGACATGTTATCATCCCAGTAAAAAGCCTTGTGCCTGATTACAGTGTATTCCTATTCCTATCCTCAGCTCCCAAGCAACCACTAATCTACTTTCTGTCTCTACATAATGTCCATTTTCTGGACATTTAATATAAATAGAATCTCACACTTAGGTGGTCTTCTTTGTCTGGTGTCTGTCACTTAGAAGAATGCTTTTCAGATTCATCCATGTTGTAGCATGTACAAGTACTTTATTCCTTTCTATGGCCAGAGAGTAGTCTATTGTATGCTTAGAATACATTTTATCCATTCCCCAGTTAATGGACATTTGGGTAGGGTTGCCAGATTCAATGCAGAATGTCCAATTTAATTTGTTCCAAATAATTTAGTATATACTTATACTAAAAACATTTATCCAGTGTTTATCTGAAATTCGAATGGAACCACACATTTTATGCTTTTATTTACTAAATTTAGCAACTTTACATTTGGAGTTTCCACTTGTAGGCTATTATAATAATTATTATAATGCTGCTGTGAACATTTCCATGCAAGCATTTGGGGTGGATGCGCATGCATTCTGTAATTTGGAAAAACCTTTAAAAATTAAATAAAACCTCCTTTTCTAAATGGATGCCAATAGCATCAGAAATTTAAGTCCATACAATAGCTTAAGGTATTGTTAATGAATCTGTTGCAGAGAAAAAGCACATAAATATTGGCCTCTGTTTTAATTATATGCCAACATTTCCTACTATGGCAACTCTAGACTGCCTTGTATTGCTTTATTACTTGCTGGATTGCCTGTGGTTATTTAAGAGGATCATAAAACTGGGATACCAGACCTGCTTGACATCTAAATAATCTAAGTCCAGCTCATTAAAAGCTGAGATCAATAGCTTGGTGAATACTTTAGCACAGATTTCCTGTTTTTAGTTTAGGAACATTTTGGATTTCAGGAGAGAATGAGATTTGCTATCTTGCTGTCCGTACTATTGAATAAAGCTAAATATAGCCAGCACATTCCCACCTTATGCCTTTGCCCTTCCTGTTTCCTGGGCCTGGGAGACTATTGCCCTAATGTGGCATGACTCACTCTCTTATTTCATGCAGTGCTCTGTTCAAGTACGCCTCATCAGAGAAGCCTTCCATAACCGCTCTAATTTAAGCACTTCCCCCACTCAGGCTGACCCAGAACTTGACCTCTGCCCATCTTTCTTCGTAACTCAGATTGATAGATTTAGCAAATAAAAATACAGTTAATTCTGAATGTCAAAGAACAGATAATTTTTTAGTAAATGTATGTTCCATGCAATTTATTCGTTGTTTCTCTGATATTCAAATTTAACTCGGTGAGCTCAATTTTATCTGGCAACCCTGTTCATAACAGTATGACAGGACATTATAGAATACATTTATCTGCTTATTTATTTTATTGTTGGCCTCATCCTAAGAGAACATGGCCATAGTTGTTTCCTAGGGCTGTTAGGACTGATTGCCGCAAACTTGGTGGTTTGACACAACAGAAATGTACCCTCTCACAGTGGTGGGGGCCAGAAATCTGAGCTAAAGATGTCAGCAGAGCTGGGCTCTCTCCGAAGACTTTGGGGAGAATCTTTCCTTGTCTCTTATACCTTTTGGTGGTTCCCGGCATTTCCTGGTTTGTGGTCACATCCGTCCAATGTCTGCCTGTGTCATCACCTGGCCTCCTTCCCTGTATCTGCATATTTTTTTCTTTTCTGTCTCTTATAAGGATACCTGTCCCTGGACTCAGGGCCCATCCTAATCCAGGATGATCTTATCTTGAGATCTTTAACTTGATTACATCTGCAAAGATCCTTTTTCCAAATAGGGTCGCATTTCCAGGTTTGGGGTTGACACTTCTTTGAGGAGGCCATTATTCAGCCCACTCCAGTAGCACATTGGAGTTTGACAAATATCTGTTGAACAGGTGAATGGGAAAATCAGTGGAGGTGGGAATTTTGGGTTTCAGTTCTAGTCCACAAACATCTATGCAGAACCTATTGTGTACTGAACTTTCACAGTTCCTGGGGGACCTTCGGGTTGAGGTCTTCAAACACTGAGAAATCAAGTTTCGAGTTGTACCGCAGGCTCCCGCAGCATATGGATGATGGTCGAGGTATCTGAACCTGCATGTGAGAAAGCTGCAGAAAGTTCTGGGTGGGGGGATGCTGAAAATGTCACTCTAGCCAGCAGCAACCACACAAGAGTAAAGAGAGAAAGAGAGCCCACAGGCAGAGGTAAATCCATGTCCTCACATTACTTATTTCAATGCCAAGAGCCCATAGCCTCTGTATTCCCAGGCAGCGATCAACTCAACAACCAAGAGCTGTAAGCACAGAAGCCAAGAGAGTCAGCTTGTCAGGAAGCTTTACCTCCTGGTTTGGAAAAATTATTTTGATACTTGTTCAGGCCTGAGGAGTCCATAATCAAATTTTTCTGCTTCCTCTTATGAACTGGAAACCAAATGGAATTTGCAAGAGCCTAATTGCCATGAGAAGGCTGTGCCTGAAATCACTCCCAAATTTTTGCCAACACGGCCATAGTGCTAAGGAGAAAACACAGTGCAGAGCGTTACTAGGTGGACGCTTGCTGAATTTCTGATGAATGTTCCCAAACTAATAAGAGCATCATCCCTCCCAAATTAATCACCAGGAAAGGTTATATTTGTATTTCCAGGGCTGTCTTCATGGGAATGCAACGTGGGTGGTCACGTAGGCCTCATTCTTAGAAGGGCCTTGGAGCATTACCAAATGCTTGGTTTACTGCCCCATTGTCACCATCTTCAAGTTTTTCATCATTTCTTAACAAGGGACCGCTTTTTCATTTTGCACGGGGGCTCACAAATTACGTAGTCATGCTTGTTTTAACAATGTAAGATTTGTTCAAAATTATTTTGCTACTTCTCTTAGGAAACTGCTTCTAGGGGAGAGAATGAGCTTTGTAGGATGGGCAGGATTGTTAATATAAAGAATGCAGAGGCTGAGCCAGTGGGATTTGACTTCAAATCCCAGCA